GTGAAGTGAGGTTTCATTGACGGTGTCTCAAGCACTTACATCTTCATGAGCCTTCATTGAATGACCGTGCAACTAGTCAAGACTTGAGACTCCATTTCGCCATTGAAAACCTCAAATTCAAGGATGTGTTGAGCTAGATTGAAGAATAGAGGGTGAGCTCCGAGAATATGATGTGAAAGATGCGCTAGTTGGGAGGCACCCAATATCAGTTTGTTTTCCCTTTCCCATAAATAGTTGAAATTGCATGCTTGATTTTTTTTTAAGTAGTGTTTCTAGTTAAGTGATAGTGAATGACCTTGCCTTAGTTAAGAATGAGTTTTAATGGATGATGGTTAGTGATGAATGATCAAATGTTAAATTTTGTTACGAGTTACATGCTTAATGTTTATGCATGAAAGTATGTGGTTTGGAGGCCTTGCTGGGCATTGATTTTGCGAACTATGGTGCTTTAGATTTTTACCATCAAGTGCTCGATGAAATGTTAAAATGTCTGGCTCTAACTACAGCTCCCAATCGAAGGCCAAGTATAACCAACGACCGGGTGTAGCATAGGGTAACCAAGTAATAAAAATATCGAACCATGGGTCTCTAGATGTACCTTGCTTAAGCTTAAGTTTTGTTATCTAGCCAACCTAGAATAGTGATTAAGAAACTAACCTAACCACTATCATACTTAATTACAAATTGGGAGCTCACTTAGGCATGAATCCCCCTAATTTCTTCATTTGGTCGATGTTAATTACTTCCTTAGATTGATTGACTTGATATCCCTGTCGCATATAATACTAGACTAGATTGGACCCCCTATTCGAGTTCATCCAACCCCGCTCAATTGCGCTACCCGAAGAGGCATATCGAACAACCAACGATGGCAATTCAGATGCTAACTGCTAATTCCCACAATTGGGCAAACCCGACATGGTGCTACCCAATACGACACTATGGACCCTATATTACTTTCAAAGTCCCATAGTGATAAATCGGTAGTGCTCTCTTCAACCTAGGAGGATATACTCCAAATCCTATATCGTCAGGATATCAATCAAATTCACTCCCTTGGAGATTAACTCGGAACGACATAGATTGAGAAGTGACTGAATTGCCAAAAATGGGCCATAAGTGGACTTTCTCCCTCCTAGGTCAAAAAGCCCAAATCGAAGATGAAAACAAGATTCATCAATTGCATGAATAATACTCTATCAAATAGAATAGAGAATCACAGGCATAGGTTTGTCACAAGCATCAATAATCAATCCAAATAAAGCTTCTAGAGAAAGTGTAGAATAGAATCATTTAGAGACATTGTCATTCTTACCTACAATCGAGAGCCTTGATTTACGCCTTGCACCAAGCCCCTTTCACTCGATGATGTTCATTCGAGGTTGTTATGAGTGGGTTGAATGTGTCTATGGATGGTTAAGAAACCCCTAGTAGCTAGTGTCCCACGTTCGAAGATTAATGTGAAGTGGGAGGAGGGGATTTAGATTCCTTGAGTTGCATGGTTTGATCGCATGTTTGCTGGACAACAAGCTAACGCTTAAGTGTGGAGAGTATTTGATATCACTCAAAATGGTGTTATCTAACCTCTATTCTTGGGGCATTTTTGTAATAAAATATCGTGTCTAGGGGCCATTGCAAGCTCATTTATGCCAATTTTTGTTCCTATTCGTAAAGCATTCATTTTAGCTTGAGTTATTTTGCAATGAAGACTAAAAAGCCTCACTTTGTAATATTTTATCCCCACTTTGTCTTATTTTATGCTATCTTGCTGTTTGTGATGATACTGCAGTTCTTGTACTCGTCTACAATCATTCGGGGATCGATTTTGGAGTTCATCGATGCACTTTCGCATTTCATTGGAGCAATGTAGGAAAGAAGGCAAAAGCAAAAGTTTGCAGCTAAGGGATGCAAAGTTCATGACCGAGATCTCTCAAGACTGCAAAATGCAAGGATGTTCGCAACTGCAATCTCCCAACACAAGGCCGCGAACTTGTATGTGTCCCTAGCTTCCTATAAATATGATGAGACCCCAATTGCTGGAGCGAAAGCCATTTTAGAGTGAGAAATTAGGGTTTTTGGGCAGCTTTTGAGAGAGAAACGACCTTGGATGAGCTTAGAGAGGAGGAATCCCTTGAAGATCCAAGGAGAAGGGTGCAATCCAAGGAGAAGATGATGATTTCAACCATTTCCTCTCTTCTTTGTTTGTATCTCTTCTCTTTCTCTATGACTTAAAAGCATATGCTTGTTTAGGGTAGATGAATTCTAGTATCTAGCTAGGATATGTTGATTGATTGATATTTATGGCATGTCTTGTGTTCAATAAGTGTGCTAATTGTGTATGTCTTTGGTTTAAATGCTTCATATGGCATGTATGTTTAGCCCTAGGGTTAGCTATGTGGATGTATGTTGAGAGCTTTCATACTAGGGTAGATGACCTAGAGGACAAGGTAACTATCTCTTTTAGCTAGTAGCTCACCTAATTGATGTTGGTCGAGTAAATGCATGGACATTTACTTACTGAACTTGTGCGCGGATTAGTAGAACCTGTTTAAAGGAGGTAGAGCTTACCTCTTGTCGAGGAAGCTGGCAGTGGTGACATTAGGCTAGTGGATGCGATTGGAAGGGGGATCGAAAGACATGACCATTGCACCAATCCCCACTTAAGTGACCTCCACACCACAAACAACCATAGAATGCAATCGACTACCTACCCTACTAATAGGAGGATTCTAACCTTGGGGACCTCCCAACTACCTCTAGTTGGTTGTTTTAGTTAGTTAAGTTAGGTTAGTACTTAGTTCATCTTTCTATTTGATTAGGTAGTAGTTTAAAGCGAAGTAATAAGCCTAACGTTCTTGTGGAATACAACATAGTCACCTCTATACTACTTCGCCAATTCTAGTTATACTTGGCTCGAATTGGAGTCGTTAGTGTTCTAGAAGATCAAGCTTATAAATTGTAAAGCTTGCTCGCAAGTCAATAACGACACTAAAGGAGTTGTTATAGTATCTGAAGCCCAATTCAGGGGAGGTGGGAATGAGGGGAAGGGAAGTTGTTATAGGGTGAGTTTTATTATCATACACTTATAGTAAGTGTTAGTATGGTGATAATATTTAAGGATGATAGTACCAAATCCACTCTCTAGAAGTGAAGGGGAGGAAGAAGACGAACATAAGGGGAAGGGGATGAGATTTTTGTTTTGCATTTCTAATTCAAATTATAAATAATAAGCAAAAGATAATGAAAACCCCACTAATTCTAAGAAGTTGATGATTATTGGATAAAAAAGGGTTATAGGTATAATATGGCCCTCTACTATATCGTTTTATCAAACATGCCCCTATACTATTTTTTACATCAAACATGCCCCTATACTCTGGAAAATTTATCAAACATGCCCTTCTGTTAAAATTTCATTGAAAATATCATCAATCATGGTTGAACCGAGATTTAGACGACCCGATATCGGCAAATGGGAGGGAAAATGTCAGTTTTGTCCCCTGTTTTATTTTCCTGGGTCTCGTCAACGTGAAATTATTAGGATTATTTCTAAAATGAAATTATTTGGGATATTTTAGACATTTGTGCCGCCCAAACCAACGTTTGTTCGTGGTTAACGGTTTATGGATGAAAATTTTAACAGAAGGGCATCTTTGATATAAAAAATAGTAGAGAGACATGTTTGATAAAACGACATAATAGAGTTCCATATTATACCTATAACCCGATAAAAAAGTAAATATAAGGTTGAGAGGACTTCGTCAACTAAGCCTTCTTTGTCACTTTATCTTATTCCACGCACAAATGTTTGCATTCAATAAAGGGTTATTATCAATGTTGTCAGTCCTTGAGGTAATCGACCAATTAAATTGATATGGCTCGGCTTGGCATCATATCGCGCGATAATGACCCAGTAGAGAGTTACAAGCTCGTAACGAAGGGCCGGATCTTTTTCATGAAGGAAATTCAATTCTTCGACAAGCTAGTAAATGGAATCCTGAACTAGCTACTGCTTGTGAGGCTAGAAATTCCATTTTCTATACCCGCACCCATTCTTAGAGAATAGCCCTACCAGACCATACCTAGGATAACAAGTTGGTTCAATAGCTAACCAAGCAATCGGTTGCGACTTCAAAATAAAGTTAAAAGTTTAATTGGGGATATTGATATTCAAACCATGGATCTCTAGCCTGTAAGTGAACAATTATACCACTATTGTGTTCATTTTTTGCTATCACTTATTTTATTATCTTTGGACCACCCTAGAATATTTTGTTGACTACACTCTACATGAAGTATTTATGATTATTATTTTTATGATTTAAGTATGGTATAGAATAATGAAAATTGCAACATTTCTCATGTGGTTGATGCAAAAGATAACATAGATAGAAGATGAGTGGTTTATCTTTGAAACTGTGATATAATATTTCAAATTCTAAATAAGTAAATATATTTGATTGTTGGTGTTAGATGTTGAATTTAAATATGATAAATATTTTACAATTTAAGTGTAAACGTCATTATATTGTGCAAATATAAAAGATATTTTTATTTTAAATCCAATGTAAAACAAAAATTCAACATATGTTTTGCTATTTAATCAGTTTGACCCGATTTAACCTGAATGTGTAGAAAAATTGTGACATTTTTTCTAGGGAAAAAATGCGACATGTATTTTGAACAAAATCAAAATAACTTTTATATATGCACAATATAATGCCTTTCCATACATCCACGTAAATAATAAGCAAATGATAAAGAGATCATATGTTGAATTTTCGTTTTGCATTTTTAATTCAAAATCAAAACAACTTTTATAAAGGCACAATATAATAATTTTTTTACATATTTAGATTAAACTGACAAAATCAATTAAACTACTTTACCCGTTGAAACCACTTTACCACTTTACATAAGCATAAAAGTACGAGAATAATTCACTAGAATGAAAAACATTAATTAAAACAACACAATTTTACAAAATATTATATTTATATGCTAAATATAAAATATGTTAGAGAAAATTAATGATTATTTATAGACAAAATACATATACATGTTATAATCGGGCGGGTTCGGGCTAGATAGTGAGAAAACCAGACCCACCCATTACCCACAATATTCGGGTTCGAGTTTTACCCGTACCCACTAAAAGTCCTTCGGGTTAGGATTTTACCCTACCCGATTAGGCCGGATTCGGGCGGATATCCACGGTAACGGCGATATTTTTGCCATCCTTCATTACAACATTTCTCATCTTTACTTCTTTAGAATTTCATAACCCTATATGTTCTCCTAACCTCTTTCACAGGACTGGTCAGGAACATACATTAAGTCTTGATAGAGGGATTGAGGTCCAAGACGCAATTCATTGTTACTAAGCTCAACCATACATCCAGCCGAAAGCACATTCCTTGTACCTACTGGTGTTCTTATTTTTTCCAAAAATGTTGACTGATAAATGAGTACTATACCTGATTCTAATTCAACTACTGTACACAGAATCTACGGTTGTCAGAATTACTTCCAGTTACTTATGGCACCGGCTTATTTACAGCAACTTATCATATGGACTAAACCTACGCCCACACACATACCCTTAATGCAGAGGAAGGGCAGAGAGATCCTCCATCGCCAAGAAAGTTCTCATAATATAGCCTCAAGACACCAACACCTGCCCAAGAGCCAGATTCTCGGTTAGTTGGCCTGAAAGAAAAACGCAAATTCAAAAGAACTACCCTCTGTACCAAAATATCTCCCCACCTACTGGAATCGCAGGTATGGTACCTTAGACCTCACGCAAGCATTCCTATAAACGATAGCCAATCACGAGTGTGCGCCAACCTGTTTTGCAAAGCAGAACAACAAAGGAGCTGAGTGCAATCATCTTTAGGAGCAAAAACCAAACAAACTCAGTGATAGTGAGTATATACCTAGATCTGCAAATCAGAACCGAGAACCACCAGGCTAACTTTTACCTGTTTGGGTCTTTTGCAATGACGGGATGTCCAAGGATAGATCCTCCATCCCTGCTCACGGAAGAAACAATGAATACTGTCAGACCCCGCGTAACTCCATTGTATATTGTACATTGTTCTGATAGCTGCAGATAGGGCATGGTAGACACAATTCATATGCTACTCATCCAAATATATCCTACTACGTTCTGCTTTGAGTACAATATTGGACAAACCTTTTTATCAAGCAGCAACTCTCCAGCTCATTCTGCCGCTTTATTATTTCCCTCTAAAAAATAAGTCATTCAACTTATTCCTACATGTCTTTATTAAGAAAAGAACAGGCAAAAATGTTCCTGCTGCAACAATATATCCTCGGGGTCAAATAATCTGCAATGATAGAATAATAGTAAAGGTCAAACCAAGATATAGATGGAAGAATCAAAATATTCAAACCAAGGAAAGAATGCAGATGTAAGATACAAAGCATACCTGCGGTGCCATTCAGGTTACCGATCCTCAGTACATGATGCTCTCACCAATGAAACTACCAGCATTGGTCATAGGTCTAAGCTGGATTACAATGAATTACAAACCATACTCCTCCAACAATCAAATGTTGCCCCGGCACGAGAACAGCAAGCATCAGACCTGAAATCCCTCTTGGCTAAAACCATTGCTAAGGTAATGGGAAACTCTGTCCATCAAGAATCTAAAACCTCGTATGGACTTTCTCGGTTCGGCACATCTGGGTCTAAATCACGTTGGACCTCAAAATAGCCTAAATGTACAGTCTTCAAAAACATTTGGCTGAAGTTCAATACCATCCTTCTCCAGTTTCCAGGCAAGATGTGTACTTAAAATCCAAAATTGTGTATTATGTACATGAGCCAACAGGAATTCGCGATCTCAAGGCAGATTGATCAAAGACTGCAACACAGTAAGCCCGGGCTCTCTAGCGTTGTGGGAAGCTTGATTCCAAAAGAATACCAGCTGAAGAAAGCTTCATTCACAATTGATATCATCTCCAAACACAAGCATCCATTAATTATCGGCCAATAGCTTCAACTGCAAGCCGTATTAGACGTAGTAATCCTTCTACATCATGGAAGCTGAAATCAAGAGCTGTTTTAATGGAAGTAATACCCTCCCTGCTTTGGTAGTCTCCCAAGCTTATGCTAGCAGCTGCAAAAGCCACCCGTGATTTTCTTGATGCTTCCATTGCAAAGTTAACATTCTGTGCCTAGAAGAGAGCCAGGAATCAATAATACTAAAGCCTACAGCATAATGGTAGACTCTACGTATACTTTCCAACACACAGCACAAATGCATCTGTTGATTTTCAATCTCTTTTGAAATGGTAAGCACAGATTAATCACATGATTTCAAGTTTTTGAATGAACAGAGACGAGAGGAAAAGATTTTATGATTTTAGATCCTAGACAGTAGAGCTGCTGATATCTCGACCCATAGACCAAATACATATCTTTATTTACAGTACCAGAAGCTGTGATCAATTAAATTACTACGAAATTAAGAATTTTACATGCAAAAAAGTTGTACTTACAAAAGTGAGCAGCCGGGAAACATTGGTGCGATTTCGGGCAGCAATGATGGTACCTCCCATAACTTGAGGTGAGCTGATACCTTTTCCTAAGGTTACTTTATCCACTGATGTTGGGTGATTCAAGTTATCAATATCAGAGGCAGAAGAGGAAGGTGACTCACCTGAAAGTTCAATGTTCAAAACCATAAGTCAGAGTGAGATGTATATGACTGTACAATAAAGTGACAGGTGAAAAAATGTTGTTTATATATTTTAAACTTTACATTCATTATTTCTATGGAAAATTTTCCATATTCACATAACAGAACGTGAGAAGTATATCCTATGGTTAACTAACAATTAAACGCATGCTATGCAATGAAGATTCTAGAGAAGTTTTGAGTAAGAGCATCACAGGCACAGCCAAAAAACAGGAGAAGAAAACAGATCATATACCACAATGGATACGACAAAAGAAGAAAGTAGGACAGTATGTTCTACGAATCAACAACTGACTGACAGGAAACAAGTATCCTAGCAACCATACTGTATAGTAGAAAATAGAACTGCAGACCGTTATTTGCAACGCACTATTAGGAGACCAAGCTTGTGCTTGTACCTGTAGGAATCATCTGTAAAGCCATTTGTAACTCATGTCTATCTCTGTTTGCACTGGAATGCGAACAATGAATTACCCTCAGGTATGCCACCTCCATGCATTTGTAGGCAAGAGCAGCAGCAGCCATGTCTCTAGACTTCTCATATTCATGGGCACAAAACCTAACACAACATCAAAGAAGATGAAGAAGGTATACATGAAAGCAGAGAGGGTAGGTCTGCTATATTTATTTTTAGTTCCTAACGTTTAGGTGGGAAAACAGTTCAACAAACACTTGTTATTCTAACTTCCAGAATAAGAACTCATGCTAATTGGTGAATCCTGAAAATTAGAAAAAGCTAAAACGACGTAGAAAAATAAATTCCAAACTTTGCAACTTTTAGAGAAAGAGAAAGGTCTTCTATAAGAATTAAACCCATAATAGTCATATTTCCATCTCCGTAGAAGGAATACCAAGAAAATAACGCTTCGAGATAATAATTAATCAGTTCATTCTAGTAGCTAACAAAAGCAAAAATGGTAATTGCTACCAACCAAAAAGTAGCACGGAATGTAAATATCAGAAGGTCTACTAAACCCTGGCCAATAGAAGCCAATTCAACAAAGATTTATAGTCTCAACTTACTCGCAGAGTTTGGCAGTGCTAGTATAGATTTGCATTGACTGGATCATATCTTTCGCATTTTCATTGCTTCCAGATTCCAAGAGTGAGGCTCCATGAAGAAACTTCAGGCTTGCCTCAAAGTAAAGCCTTGTACTTTCCTGAGCTGACCCAGAGTTCTGCATAAAGATGGCACCTATCAGTATCATGTTGGACAGAATAAAATATCAAACTTTCTAAAAATCATGCAAATAATAACCTTCAGACGGTCTGCCAGGTGCTTTAGATTTTTAGCCTCTTTCAAAGCATTGTTGGCAGCCTGACTGGAGGAATCCCTTTTGACTGGACTCGGGGCATCATGATCCCTGATCCTTTGCCCGTTTGATATCTGGTTCCCTGAGCTGTGATTTATCCCATTTGGGGGATGGTTAACTTTCCTGGACTGCTTCTGTGGCTTGGATGGATTGTCACCGCCGGAGGCACTAACAGACAAAACCCTCCCTCCATTTCCTTTTTGCATACCAGGAACGGAGAGTGATTTCTCTTCTTGAATTAACCCACATGGATTTGCTGTTATTGCCTTCTCTTTACCTGAGCTCATCTGGCCTTCCAGTGGTAAACTCACTTTTGCATCATCAGTAATAGTAGCAGGACATTTATCACCTGGATCATTGCGGCCACCTAAGTTTGGGCGAGCATCTGTTTTGCCATTCCCTACAAGCAATAGTCCTGCAGAGCTCTTATCTAGGTGTCTACTCTCTTTTTTTTCAGATTTGAAACCAATTTTCTCATCTGCCTTGTTTTGGCTATCCCCCGGTTTTACTCCAAAAGACACTACATGCTCTGTAGTAGAATCAGAAACTCTAGGTTTTACCTTCTCTGAAGAATCAAGACTTTGGTCCTTGGACCTTGAAGATGATGTTTCATTCGAGGACTTCCTTGCGAGATATCCATTTGATTGAGAATGATTTCCGTTTGGCCTCTCATCATTGTGGTGTTTGTCCATATTTTCTGACCTGCTCTGATGCTGAGTATATTTATCAGAGGAATTTGTAGTGGCACTTATGATCTGTTGATTTGTAGAAGTAAGCACACTCTGTTGCTTAGCTTTTGCAGATGGTAAACCTTGACTAAAGTCCTCTGGAAAATCAACGTAAGAAGGCTCAAGAGACCCATGACGACCCAAATCAATATTTTTATCTTTCTTCCCCTCTCTGATAACATGCCTCTCGGAGTTTCTTGCTGCAGCTACAAGTTTATCTGGTTTTGGTGTTCCTATAGGTAACGATGAAACTGATTCTACTGGGGAGCCTTTTGTATCCAGGGTGTTGCCTTTCGTCTTGTGGGACCCAGAAACCTTAGAAGAGCTAGAGGTAGCAGCCACTGACAGATGTCGATTCCCGGAATCTTTCTTCGAACACTCAGCAGCATCCAAACTCCTCTGTGACAATGTGCTTCCTAAATCTCGCCTTGATAGCAGTTTTCTTCCATGACTGCCCTTCTTCTCTGTTCTACCATCACCTTCACCAGTACTGACCTCCTTTCCCATAGAACTGGATAACCGTGCCTTCTTCTCCTTCCTGAAGTCACTATCACTGAGATCTTCCTTTGCCATGATTCCACCATCCTGGAGAAGGGATTCTGTAGCCAAAGGGGAAGGTGGTCGCAAATTTGCATCAAAGTCACCATTTGCTTTCCTTTTTTTCACAATTTCACCATCCTTATGCTTCCTCTTTTCCATGGAGCGAACATCCAATGTAACCTGAACTCCCTCCTTCGGCTTTTTAGCAGAGACATTTTTCTGATTCTTTTGCTCATTCTTCGAGTCCCTAGAAGAAGTCCAATCAGAATCTTTGGGCGGCAGTTTGCCAGAGGGAATGCTAGGACCATTCTTTTCAGACACATAATCAGACATTGGATCTTCTGACAAATCTTCAGCCTTTGCCTTCTTGGATGCTCTAACTACATCTTCATCAGGTACCCTTTTGCTTCTCATCTTTGGTTGACGAGATTCACCTGTGCCAGATTTTATTGAAACAAGGCAGAGTTTGAAAATGTTACTACGACTTGGAATGGATGGGAAAGATAAATTATCTAAGAAACAAATACCTCCAACAGAAAAGTTGTCAAGCACTTTGTGCTTCTCTTTCAGCTTAGGATTCTTGTTTCCCATGGCTGTGTCACTAGATCTGCTAGACTTCAGCAATTCAGGTTCACTGATCCTAGGAGACCGACTCACCTCGCTTATGCTTACATTTGGCACAAAAGTTGGCATTGCTTTCTTTGCAGAATTGGGTAGCTGTATTGAGCCATCTTTATCTGCTATATTGGATGGCTCTCTCAAAGCATGCTTCTTCTTCCGGCTAGCAGCAATCGCATCATGGGTTCGAACACTGCGCAAGGTTCCCTCGGTGATAGGCCCACCAGAATTGCCAGCTGGACCACTTTGACCATGTGGAGCAGCAGCTCGGTATGATGCAATGAGAGCCTCAGTAGTTTGCTCCTCAGTAAAATCACATCTATTCATGTCCGGCCTGAAACATCAATAGTAAGACACCATACATTGGACAGAGAATGAATAGCAAATCTATACATGTCTTAGCATTACTTATACTCTGCAATTGCTCTGTCATTCAACTACGACCTAACAAAAGCATAAATTCATCAAGACATTGTAACTTACAACCAGTCAAGCATTTCGCATAGCCACTTATCCGGCAAGTCATCAGGATTCTTTCCAAATGGAAGAAGTCTCCACGTCTGACACTTATCACAACAAACCCAATGATCATCTTCTGTCACGAGAGGATCTGTACATACAGGAGCAGCATCCAATGCAGGCACATTTTGAGGGTGCAAAGAAGCACTTGAACCTGCCTTGCAATATGCCTCTGATGCTAACATCTTATCAATTTTCTTTGCATTTGATCTCTCGATCAGTGATTTACTAATCCTATTGGTTTCTTTTTCAACAACTCGTGAACCCCTCACCCTATCCGCACGACTTGTTTCTGATCGACTAGGATGGATGTCCCCTTGTTCTAGTTCCATGTCCCCAAAAAATTCATGATACCGGTCTTCAAATTCTCCAGCATTTTTCTGGACTTTGCGGTCCTCTAACTCCCCCTCTGTTGAATCGTCAACATGAGAATCCTTCCGAATTCTTGCTACTGAATAAGGGCCAGTAATAGAGCCTGCCTTTGATATTTCTGAGACTATATTACCATGACTCTGACTTTTCTTTGGTTTCTTCTTTCCTTCTGAAGCCAAACACTCTTTACTGGGAATCAACGTTTCACCTTCAAATTTCTGGGATGTATTTTTCTGGTCAGCCTTATGCTTTATCGATTCAGTTGACTCGGCTCTCGCAGGTTTACCAACTTTAGAAATATTGGCATCGATTTTCACCATGTTGAAAGATTTTCCTCTTTTGCAAGGGCCAACTTTCCTGGAACATTCAGAAGCACTATCAAAAGATTCGTCTTTCTTATCTTCCCAATCTTCAGACGTAGTGGCCATGGAATTTACAATGCAGCCATCCTCCAGGGAAGCCATTGGAATGAATGGCACCTTTTCCGGACCAATACCAGCATTGTCCTGCACACCATCCTTGCATACTTCCTTTGATGAATTAGAAGCCATCCCCGAGCCTTTTACAGTTTCACCTGAGGTAGAATATGAGCTAGATAGCAGTGGCAGCCTTAAGGTATGGGATACTAGTCGATCACATGCTAGACTGTCAAGGACCATCTCCTTCCTTGATGCAATCTCGATATCACTTTCAGAAACCTTTTTATAGTCATTTTTTGATTCTGAAGAAATCTCACACCTCTCCAGCAACTTCATTTTACCATTAGCAAGAACTCTTTTACTAAGCTTTGAAACAGATATGGATCCACCATCCCTTGGAATCCTTTCTTTTTCCGTCAAGCAAATCAGAAGATCAGGAAGAGGTGATAATAAAAGCCCTCCATGCACTGGGAAAGAAGTCATTATCTGCTTCACCAATAAGAGAGAAATATTTATAAAAAAAAATGGCAAGCGTTCCAATAGGCAACAAAATATAGACCTAGTAAATGAAAAAAGTAAATTGTGAGCAGAAGATCCACCCGAATAATATGAGCAGGAGATTCTAATGAGGCATGGTGAAGTTCATGAGACATCTCTTCACTTTCAGAGGGACTATCCTCCATTGATGAAGATGGAGAGACAGTAAGGCCAAGACCACTATAGAGAGCATCATTTGTTTGTGTTGACAAGTTATCAGAGCCGACTTTTATGCGAAACTTAAGCATCTTCGGGTCCGGTAAACTGCCAGACTTCTTAGTTAAGGTTTCACGACCTATCACTTCCTCAGAAATATGAGCAGATGGCATGCGGCGTTCTTGGTTGGGTGAAGCCACAGTCAAGGATGGCATTTTTGTTAAGGGCGGTAATACTGCACCAGCAGAAGTAGGACCAGGCCTTACTGCCTGAGGTACATCTGATGAATCAGAACTTCGATGACTAGCCTGTTAGAAAACATTAGAACTTCTTAAAACATGAATATCGTCCAACGTTACAAGTTCTCGAGTGCATCAGGAGTGATTCAATAACAAACAATGTGCCTGAATTTAAAAACACTCTCTTACCCCATGCAGTAAAGTGTTTGGGGATTTAGACAAATTACTAATTTGCTGGACATTTGGAGGAGCCCGAGGATGAGACCAAGCAGGAGAGCGCTGGCTAGATAAAAATGAACCATAACCACCAAACTTGGCTCCTGTGTAAATGTAAATTCTGATGGTAAGATATCAGAATCGGAGTCCAACCCAACCAGCTGAGTAGATTTATGATATCACACCGCAGCCTTGTTCAACTTACCCAAATTTTCTGCTGAGACGCCACCTTCAAAATCCTTTTGAAAGTGCCCCAAGACATGTTGAAGTTTCTCATCCTGTTGAGCAAAACAAACGACTGGTTGAGCAGTATAGAGCAAACAAATACACCAGAAGATAGAAGAAAAGAAAAAGAAAACAACTGAAGACGAATACCAAACAAGTATGACCTTTGCAGTAAGATATAAGAATGATGATATGCACCAAATGGATCGAGATACTGACTCTACCATCAACGAACAGAAATTTTTAGTCTGGAGAACTGACTTCTAACATTTTCAACTTCCCCACATTGGCATTGAAGACGAAAAGTACTTCAATGAGCCAATTCTTAGACGGAAAACTCAGCCTCTGCATTAACTAAACAAAGAAGGGAGTGACAGATAAGGGAAGAAAGACAAGAAAATCCGATAATCAATATCTTAACTTTTAAAGTGGTATCAACCCATTGAACTGATGGAAGAAGTTCTCTATTCCCTAACTATTTGGTTCATGAAGAAGTATATAAACTAATGCAGAATTCAGAAGGCTTAATTAGACCCAATTAAAAACCCCGCCATGGTCATACACTGTTTACACCTGAAAGTATTGCGAGGTCTTCATTCATAGCTTGGTCTAAAGTCTCTTCGAAATCTCTTTTTAAACGCTCTCTATAACCTTCAGTCTCTCTAACCCTTACGCACATCTCAACCTCAACGGAAAGCGCCCAAATTCAGAGCACCAATTTATTCGTGAAGAATTATATACATTCCATAACAGCATTGCTCGGAGTAAGTAGCAGCAAATGAAATTTATAAAAAAGAAGAGAGAAAAACCTTCTATGCCACTCAAATTCTCCCCAGCATCGTCAAAAAGGGAACATCTAACAAATGTTTCCTAAAAAACGAAAGTCAACTGAGCACAGCGGAATCCTCCTCCCACAACCAGAAGTCCAGTAGCAAGGCAATTCAAAACTAACGAGGAAATCATAATTCAGCAACCAATGTAGATTGGAAGAGAAGAAGAAACTGACTAGGTAAGAGAGGGCAACATCGGGGTCCATGGTGTAATTGTCATCGTCATTGTTAGGAGAATGGTAAGAGCAAGCCTCTCCTTCCTCAAGCTCCGTGTCTTCCTCCATCATCACCTCCCTCCCACCACCGCCAATACCTAACTCCTTTCCCGCATCTCTACTCTTCAGAGATAGCATCAAAAAGAGCCCCCACAGAGACAGAACCAGAAAGATGGGGAAACCCCGGAAAATCGACCTCAAACAGGCGACAGACTCAGAGAGGCGGCCGCTCCCTGCTCACAAAACTGAATCCGACCCATTATTTTCCACCAGCCAAAGAAAGAACACTGTGTGTCAAATCTGAACCCGAAACAAAAAAAAACTAACTCTGCCGCAACATAAAATAAGGGGGAGAAAGAAGATCGAAGCGATCAACAAAGCCGAAAAGGGGAATAAGTGGAAAAGGTGATTGTTGGTATGAGGAAAGAGAAAGGAATTTTGGAGGAAAGGAAAGCAGAGTAGAAGAATAAGATTGATCGAAGACCAGACCAGGAATGGAAAGGGAATTCAAATCGGCGAGAATTTTGGGGCGGGAGGTGGTGGTGGTGGGAGCTGTCTAGCTCAAGGTTTTGGGGGGAATTGGGGTCTTTTGGGTTGCTGCGATCGATCTCTCTGCCTATAGCTGCAAATCGAATACCATTCAGACCTCTCTCTCCCTCTTGTGTTTGTTTGTCCCTCTGGTTTTGGGTGAATGCAGCAGCCGCGTTTTTTTCCCTCTGCTCTCTCTCTCTCTCTTCCTCTTGTTTTATTTTTATTAATATTAATATTATGTTTTGCCAATCCGGTCTGCAATAAAATTTACTGGATTTAGTAGGTTTTTGGAGCACTGAATGTCTCGGACCAGATACGAAGAGGGACGATCTATCATCAATCTAACAAAGAAACTACTTCAGCACTTCAACTTGGGTTAATTGCAACGTTGGTCATTGGGTTTACTAAAAGTAACGTTTACGTTTGGTCACTAAAAATATTTAATTCATTCGTGGTCACTAGATTGGTTAAACGTTTCAAATTTGGTCACTCTCCGTCCAACTCCGTTAACTTTGTCTGATGTGGTAGTCAAATCTCAAAGTTGACTGTTAACTGAGTGACGTGGCAATTAATAAATAATTAATAAATTAAATTTTAATATTTTATAATTTCCAAATCATTTTCACAATAAAATAAAATAAAACCAAAAAAAGTTATTAGAATTACCAAATCAGAGTTGTATAGCCGCGTCGCGCTCACCATCGACGACAATCAGCCCCCCAACCACCACCGCGCCGCCGAAAGAAGGTGGAGCTGTTGTAGGTCTTGAATTGAAGAGTGGAGATTGTCGTCGGAAGAGGAGTGGTGAGAGGAGTGATGGGTAGCGAAGATCTCCTCGTGGTCGGTATTGTCTTCAAGGTGTTCGACGAATTGCCTTTTCCAGTTGAAGTAGCGCCTGGAGAAGGAGAAAGAGGAATCGTGTAGGTCTTTGCCGTCATGATCGTGTATTCATGTTACTCATGATGGGCTTGGGGGAAGGGGGTGAAATATAAGACTAGTGGGGAGAAGGTTACAAATTTGTGGGAAGGGGTTTGGTTTGAATTTGGAGAAGTGTGGGTTGAAGCTGGAGAATAAACAGAGTGAGGTACAAATATAAAAGAGAGGTTTCGGCAAGCTTTCGTTTGTGCTTATTAGGTGAGGATTTGGAAGCTTATATTGGCGTGGATTGTGGCAATGTGATTTTAGAATCTGCTGATGATATGGAGATAGGAGAAAACAAAAGGGAAGAGAATGTCAGACCCTTGACGGATGGTCTTGAGTTGGCCGACACCAACGTCGACTTCCTCGAATCCGTATTGACGGAGCTCTTGCTGACGGTGGAGGGTGATGACGATCATCGCGAGAAGGTGGTGGAGAAGGTCACCACGCTGCTCAGCGCTATGGTGACCAACCAGCAGATGTGTGTCGACGGTTTGGTGCAGAGCGACGACGCGGTCGTGGTCAGGGGTCGGCGTTGGGTGTGTCACGGATGGTGAATACGACGCAAGAGTACAGTTCTAATTTGATAATTCTAATAGCACCTAGGGTTTGGTTGTGGGTGGCCATCAAAACTCTGATTTGAGGGTGAAGTCTACCAATCCTTAGTCAATAGGTTGAGAGAGTCGCATTAGTGGCTTGGATCGTATCCCCTTTCCTCGACCTAGAGACTAAAAGAGTGGCGCTTGGCTACTTGTTACACTTCCCTACGGTTTACAACCCCCTCACCACACACGCCATTCGATCCATCAAGTCATAATTGCTAGCTAGGGGGAGCAACACCCGGGTGAAGCCTTCTCAATTAGTGTCAAATCCATTTAGCTTTAGATTGTTGTTTTCACCAAAAACCAACCGCTAGATGACTCGCTCTGACTATCACAATAAAATCCCACCTAAGACCCAAGTATAAACCTTAGATGGGTGCAATATAGGGAAAGTATGTTTAAATATCAAACCGGGCCAGCCCATGTACTGCTACTTCGATTGTTTTAAACATTATCTAGCGGATGGTTTTGGTGAAAACAAAATTCTAAAGCTAAAGTACTTGCAAAGAGAAATGGTTTTGACACTATTGAGAAGGCTTCACCCGGGTGTTGCTCCCCCTAGCTAGCAATTACAACTTGATGGATGGAATGGCCATGTGTGGTGAGGGGGTTGTAAACCGTAGGGAAGTCTAACAAGTAGCCAAAACTACCTTCTTAGTCTCTAGGTCGAGGAAAGGGGATATGATCCAATCCACTAATGCAACTCTCTCAACCTATTGACTAGGGATTGGTTAGACTTCACCCTCGAATCGGAGTTCGGACGACCACCCACAACCAAACCCTAGGTGCTAATACGAAATAGGAGGTTTTCCCTGCATTAACCTAACTAGCAGACAATGAATTGCCTAAGAAAACCCAGAATTTAAGCCTCTTTCAAAAAAAGGAAGAGGGGTCTTCTCTCTACCTAGGTTAGAATGTCAATTAGATTGATAGGCTTTCACACAACACAATCATTCATGAATAATAGCTCCACATTCACATTAAACACAACCACACAAAAATCATGCAATTCATACAAGAATTCACATAATTGTAGCTAGAGTTCACAAACACCCAAGTGAAAGAAGGGACTACTCCATGCTAGGAGAGGAGAAAACACAAGAGAGAAGAAGAAAAACCATCAAAGAGATGTTAGCCTTGCTCCTTGTGTTGAAGAGATCCTCCTTTGGGGGAGGAATTCCCAATTCCTTGCTTGAAGATGAAACCCTAGCTTCTCATCTTCTTTGGTACCTCACTTTCTCACTCTAGAAATCTGAAGAAGAAGAAGAAGAAGAAGAAGAAGAAGAAGTTTCTCACGCTAGGTCTCCCCCTTTCTTCTTCCTTTCAGCTCACATTATATTCTGAGATCGCGCACAGTTCACGGTCTGAGTTCACAGCCGTGAACTTCTGATCCCGTCCGTGAACTGTAAGCAAAACGCGCCGCTTCAGTTATGGTCTTCACAGCCAATTGCCCCAATTCACGGTCTTAGCAACCGTGAACTGCCTTGGCCTCAGTAACCTTTGAAACCTCTCTAGTCACATCGCGGTTCACGATTTGTGGTTGCACTTCACGGTGTTGGAGACCGTGAACTCTGGCTGAATCCTCCTTTATGAAACACAAAAAACCTAGCTTAAAACCACCCTTTTTGGAGCTCAATTATAACAAACGTCCTAGATAATCGGGGATAAAAAGTGTACAATTAGGCATGAATCACTCCCCCACACTTAGATGTTTGCTTATCCCCAAGCAAACCATTTCACACAAGGTAATATCTCAACCTAACAAAATCAATTTGGGATGAATCAAAGGGCACAAAAGGGCGAATCTCAATGGCTATTGACAATTAACACATGAACCGTTGCAAGCGACACCTGCATCCACCACAAACGACATTCAAGGCCACCAAAAACGGGCAAACGAAAAGTTCTCACCTTGTTCATGAATCAATGCAAGTATCAACAAGGTCACTTATCAATCACAACTAACCATGCATAATATTCAAGTCCAAGGAACAAAGGTCCTCATCGGGGTATGATATGACATGCAAAGCAAGAAATAATCACTCACTCCTTGACCAGTAGGGTCGGGACCATTTGGTGCAAAAAATGTGCACAATCGTCATACTCGGCTCTATCGTCTCTTCACCATGAGGACAACCTCTAGATGCTAGAGCTCACGGGATGGTTGTCATCACTATCTTGTCCGGAGGTCTTAGACACAGGTTCAAATGACTGACAATTGTCTTGGACATGGGGAAAAGGCCTTTTTGGGTGGTGGAAAGCAAAGCATGAGGTTCTACATCTTCACCCTAAACCCGAAGGTTCTATGGTATTAAGAACTTACTCCAACACTACATTTTTTCCTCTTTTATTCCTAGCAAGAACCGCACAAAATCCTCCTATGTAGAACTTCAATGGAATTCAAAAGCGAGAGCTCTGAGACACAAGGACGACTCACGTATATACACGAAGAAAGGATGGGTTCTTCAAACACCATTAGCTCAAAAGCAATAAGCTCCTACAAGAGAACGACCTCCAAAGTTACAAGGCTCATATGTGTTGACTAGTGGATAAAAACATTTTGGGATAATCAACATTTGGGCGTGGACTAATCCTATGCCTCCATCATACTAACTACTGACAACTGTGATGTTACTTGCCATGGTAAGAGGGATCTAAGCACACAAGATGAAAGTGATCGGCTCAAAAGCTCACATGGCTACCTAGTCACCCAATCATCTATTCCACTTCACAAAACACGATGCATGGCAATTGTAATCAACAAGTAATCGAGTCAAGACATCCATTCATTTTTGCACACATGAGAACTAAACCTTTGCACCATCCTAATGCACCTCTCAGTCATCATCATAGGACACAATCGATCACATGCAGCAATTCAAGGTCAATATCAATAAACACGAGATTCTCCCACAAACCGGCCACTTTAATCATGCAAACATTGCTTGGAGCCCTCAAATTTTTAAATTTTGGGCATAGATCAAGTCTCCAAGCATCCATCACACTCACACAAGCATAATAATAGACTACCCCCCCCCCCCACACACTTAAGTTCGACATTGCTCTCAATGGTGTAAGATAGCGGTAGAACGTTGCTACCGCATGGCTTGGTGAGTGAAAGTTGGAATTTTTCCGGGGAAGGAGATTCGAGCTTCAAGGAGAAAACACAAACACAACACATACTCGCTCGAGGCGAGATTATTGCATAACAATACGATAGTAGTAGTAGTAGTACTAGTAGTTGTTCTTGTTCACACACACAAAATAAAAGAAGAAAACTAAAATAAAAGAGTTCAGAGTTCCAAGTGGAGAAGTGGGGCGAAAGTGTTCGGCTCTGCCACATGTCTCACTCGTCGGCTACCTCTCTAGGGTTGAAGGCCCATACTCATCATCTAAAAGGATACCCTGGCGACGAGCCATCTGCTCTAGCATGTCGGTATGCCGGTCAAGACAGGAAGTAACTCCCATGACGTTGGTCTCAAGGCGATCCATCCTCTACACGAGGTGATCACCGAAGGCGCCGGCGTGCAGGACGCCGACGACGGGCAGGATCTTGAGCAGGTGGCTGCTCTGGAGGTGAGACCTCTACATCGGGCTCCCCTAGAGCCGGGTCAACTGTCAGCCTCATGGATGCTGAGGGTCGA